TTCAACTCAGTGCATGCTGCCTGGCAACTGAGAGCAACTCGGCCTTATGGACAGGGTGATGAGATAGAGAGGTGGGCGGAAAACCACAACCTCTCTTGTCTTATAATTGGAGAGCCGACGCATAAGGTTGGCAATACTCTTGATCTCGCTTGGACTAACATGTCTGAAGCCCGTGCTTGGGTCGATCGGGAGGAGTGTATGACCAGCGACCATCTTCCGATCCGCGGAATCGTACCTGCAGCAACCTTCAGCGGGAACCCGGGTCCATCGAAGATCAGAGTGCCCAAGAAGAATCTACCTAATTTTGCGCGTGCCGTTGCAAAGTGGGTACATCCGCCGTTAGATTTGAGTACAAAAGAGAAAGTGGATGAGTATGCCCAAGAGATCTGCTCCCATCTCTCGGAGGCCATCAAAGCGACAGGAACCCGGGCGAGAAAAGAAAGCGGCAAATCTGCGCCGTGGTGGACTCCTATGTGCAAATCCGCACACGCAGAATATCGAGCCACAACGACACCGACACAGCGGGCCACTTGCGCAAAGGAGCTTCGAGTGACCATCACAGCCGCCAAGAAAGAATACCAGACAAGCCAAGTGGAAGCAATGACATCACCGTCCGATATCTTCAAGCTGATGCGTTCGGTAAACCATAGACAGGCCAAAGATCCTCTGCCACTCAACCACAACGGAAAGTTCATTACGGACCCGTTAGATCGAGCTTCCATTCTCCGAGACGCCCTTCTTGCACGCCACCAACTATCGGACGACCTTCCGCCATGCAACACTCCAAGCGATAATCGAATACCTTGGGAAGGTGAAATCTCAGATGAAGAAGTGCGAGCATGTACCATCGGCTGTGGAAAGACAGCACCAGGGGCAGACGGAATCACGGTTGAGCTCCTTGAGGTTTGCTGGAAGACGATCGGACCGTGTATTTTGCAGCTCTTTAGAGCTTGCATACGGCTCGGCACCCACCCATCTTGCTTCAAACTTGCAGAAGTGGTGCTACTGGAAAGGCCAAATAGGGACCCAACCACGATTAAAGGCTGGAGACCTATAGCCTTCCTCTCGTGTATAGGCAAAGGGTTAGAAAGGCTTCTTGCCAAGCGAATGGCGCACCTCGCAATCACTCATGATGTGGTTGGCCATCAACAATTCGGTGCGCTCCCAAAGAGATCTGCAACAGACCTGGTTTCCTGCATAGTCCACGATGTAGAGGAAGCACGCTCCCGTGGATGGGCCTCGACATTTGTAACTTTAGACGTCCAAGGAGCGTTCGATGCAGTGCTCCACAATCGCTTGGTTAGGCGCATGCAAGCCCAGGGATGGCCAGACTCAATCCTCCAGTGGACGACTTTATTCCTCACACACCGGAAAGTTCAAGTGCGTTTCTACGGCGGAGTCACAACCCAGAGAGAGCTGGTCTGTGGAGTCCCGCAGGGCTTCCCAATATCGCCATTACTATTCCTTCTCTACATGGCGGAGCCGATGAAAAGCGGCAACCCAGGATCGAGGTTTAGCTACGCGGACGACATTGGAATTCTTGGGTATGGACGCACAGTTGCTGAATCTTCCAGCGCTGCACAAAGGGAGGTAGATCATCTTCTCGAATGGACGCGGAATAATGCCGTCGACTTTGACACGGAAAAATCGGAAGTTATTCAATTCCCGGGACGACGCCGAGAGGAAGCAATTGGTGTTCATGTTAACGGAACCCTTATTGAGCCTGCGGAAAATATTCGCTGGCTAGGCGTGAATCTAGATCCACGACTCAATTTCAAACAACATGTAACTACATGGTGCGGTAAAGCGGTAAAAGTTGCCCAGCACATGCGCCGTTTCAACTCTGCCTTTCGGGGAGCAGCTCCTGGGCCATTGGCTAAGGCAGTAGACATGTGCGTTGTCTCGCTCGCAACCTTTGGATCTGATGTCTGGTGGCCAAGGTCCAAACGCCCAACAATACGAGGAATAGTCACGTCCTCAGCCTCCAACCTCTGCGGCATAATTGACAGAGCGAGCCTGATGGGATTGCGGGCTGCACTTCCAGTAATGAGGAAAACACCAAATGTAGTCTTTCACAGAGGAGGAATCCCGCTGGTGAAGGTCATACTAGAGGGAAACCGACTCCGAATTTCGGCAAGGATGAAGGTCCTTGATGACTGACACCCGTTGAGGATCCGCGCTTCCGTTTGCCCGAATATCGGCACGCGGAAATACAAGAAGAGAAATCGAGGGACTTCGGTTCCTGAAGTAATAATGTCACGAGTCCAGCAGGCGTACCGACAATTACCAAAAGCAGAGCACGCGGAACCACTGCCGCCTACATCCTACTTACCGAAAGCAGGATCTAAGGAAGAACAAATGGAGAAATGTAGGCAATGGATCAACCAGGTGCCGAAGTCGGAAATTTATGCCTACTCGGATGGCTCATCGGAGGGGAATGGACGCTCTGCTTGGGGTTTTGTTCTAAAGAGAGACGGGCAGACTTTGCTTACGGGAAGTGGCATCAGGCATGGGGGTGAGGCTTTGGATGCGGAAATCACCGGGGCAAGGAAGGCTCTTGAAGCAGCATTGGGACTCCAGAGCGCGACGCAACGAGTCAACCTTCTACTGGATAGTCAGCAGGCAATCAACGCACTCGAGACAGGCAAGTCCACGACAAGCCATGATGAAGTACGAAAATTTCGGGAGTTGTCCAAATCAGCTCGCGTGACAATTAAATGGGTTCCCGGGCACTCAAGAATCCAGGGTAACTTGGAAGCCGACTCGGCCGCCAGGTCTGGCCTACGAATGCTGCCTAGCCCGGAAATACAGCCAGAATCCATCACTCTGGCATTTCTTCATGGCCAAATGAATCGTCTGCGGCAGGCGTTACTCCACGAATGGTGGAACGAAGCTTGCCCGCTCCGGTATTGCAAGCTCGACCTGCTCATGCGACGAAGGAAACCACCTGAGCTGGGACTTTCTAGGTTCCTACTCCGAAATCTGATTGCAGCTCGTACGGGCCATGGCAATTTTGCGGCGCATCATCGCCGATTCAACAATCCGGACGCTCTAATGGAGTGCACCTGTGGGGAGGAGACCACTCCTACCCATTTTATTCACTGTCGACTACACGCTCACGTCACGCGTCGACTCAGAGGGAGATCGTCACATAGTGGCTTTATCCAAAAACTTCTCGGGCCAAAGTGTCACGAATTTTTCATAAACTTTGAGAAGGAAACCTGCTGTTTTGGGTTGCCATCTACAAATTCGTCTTCTAATCTCATCGGGGACAATATAAATTAGTCATACAGATGACATGACAGGAAGGAATACAAGGCGAGAAGATTTGTTTTCTGACCGGAAATTGGGAAATCTGCAGGGCTGTATAGTTTTGTGGGTAGGAGTTTGGTTTCAAAAGTTGAATTTATGTACGGTCGCGAATTTTTAACTAGCTACTTATTGTTTAGTGGTTCATGCGGTGGGATCAAGTTGGGCTTATCAGGGATATGATCTTGGCTGTGAACATCGGTCTTTGACCCTTAGGGGATAACGGGTATAGCCTAGGACCTAAATTAATAAACAAACAAACAACCTTAAGGTCTCGTATTGGCCAGCTCAGTCTACATAAACTACCCGACGTGCCGATACCTTTAAATAAGCCCGACATGTTATAAATGGGCCAAGGCCTACCTGCCATGCATCCCGAACTATCGAAAGAAGTCAAAAGTACTCTCGAGCTGAGACTTTTGTATTCTAATACAGTAGAGAAGATAGTTATATATATGAAAAGGAAATTTATCCAACACCTAGACCAGAAGACTTCTAAATTTAGCTCTAGCAAATACAGGCCAAGTGCATATAATTTGGGGTACTAGTTAGTCTTGTTGTTGCATGCTTCAAAAAAGCTCGTTTCATGAAGCCATTTAATAAAAGCTATGGCTCCTTCAGGTGAGCCTAGAATCCAGCGAATTCCCGTCGTTGGGTGTTTATTTCCGCTGCAAAGGTGGGACCGACTCCGATTGAGTCTACAAAAGAAGAAGTGCTCGGGCGACTTTTCTAGCCCGCAAGCGCAGATTAGAAGAGCGTCCGAGTGCTGAAAGCGGCGGTGGTAGTCAGCAAAGTCTCCATGGCCTGAGCGAGCTGCAGGAAGGCGACCAAGAGCGTAGCGGTTAAAGCTCTTGAGTTCGGGGGAGCTCCCAATATTGGCGTTAATTCCCAGTTTTTGGTATCGTTCAGGAGCGTTTTGAGACCAGTACATGGATACAAAGGCTTTGTATCGAGAGATTATGTCTCTCTTTGCTCGTGAGATTGTTGGAGATAGGGGGGCGAAGGGGTTGCGCATGCTTGTTTAGTAAGTGCGTTAGCAGCTTCATTGCCCGGTATGCCGACATGTCCTGGACACCATCGCACCCTGACTACACCCGGTTCAGAAAAGTGGCTACGATCTCTCTCTGTCCATTTAGTAGCAAGGTATCGAAAGTAAGCGATACGAGAAGAACTGCTAGGGGAAGGAGTATCTGCAAGGAGACGAAGGGTGGCTTCCTGATTATCTAGGCAAACCGTAATATTTGTGGCGTATCGAGCCATCGGATTATGGAGGGCGGCACTTGAGCCTTCAATGGCCCCGGATATTTTTGCGCGTCAGGTAGTTTAATTTAGACTCGGCTAACCGGTACGTGAGGAGCTCACGTGCTGTGCGCGGGCACGACGTTAAATATTAAAAAAAAAATAAAAAATACGGCTCTCTAGTCAACATTTACAACGTAATACCGTGTCCTACGTATTTTTATTAAGAAGTGTTACTACCTTCAATTGAAGATCATAATATACACCTGACTTATCTTGCACACAGAAAGCAAACAAGCTAATGAGAAACAGTATCCACTACAAATGGTGATGATCGAGAAGATTATCCTCGCGGATTATTTCATTCTTGCCTTAACACTTTATTTCTGCAAAGTCAAAAATGAATAATTCATTCATAAAAAATTAGTAAGTTATTCATGAAGCCATTCTCTCTATATTCTATCCTTTTTTGCAAACACAAAAGCTACACCGGACTTCTTTTCTTTCAAAATACTGTGCAAAATATCATCATCTAGAGCTTCTTTGGTATCTTTAAAACAATTTTGAATGGAGGCTGAATTTTCATTTGACTCTATACCAAATATTGCAGTATCAATGTGTCTATACTGCATTAAAGCTTGCATATTATTTTTCATTTTTTTGGCACGTTTTGCTTCCAGCTCCTCTGCAATTTTCTGATTGATGACCGCAACATTATCTATTGTCGCTGGGACTGGCTTGTATATGGGAGGATATACGAGCTCATTTTCACTAGCTTCCGAGTCTGATTTGGTATCAGATTCTTTCTCGGCCGTAGCGGAGCAAGTAGGGGCGAGAGGATCCGAACCATCACTGGGGCAAACACATCCTAATAAATCATGTGTTTGACACCTAGTATTGAGGTGTAATCGGAATAGATCTCTCAACTCTTCAGCTGAAAAACTTGCCTCGTTCTGCTTTCCATCTACAATGCTATCAGCTAGTCCCATTTTGGTTATTTGCCGCTGATAAATTTTTTCATCGATTCCTCCGCCTAAAAGGAATCGATATATTTTGACTGGTTTTTTCTGACCATCTCGATGAATACGGGCCATTGCCTGTAAGTCTGTAGCTGGATTCCAATCAGTATCGAATAAAAATAATCGAGAGGCTCCTATCAGATTTATCCCAGCACCACCAGACTTTGCTGATAGAAGGAACGCAAAATTCTTTGCGGCAGATGTTTTATTGAATGCATCAACAAGATCTTGACGCTTAAGTGTGGGAGTGCTACCATCAAGTCTCAGGAACGGTAGATCTAGTGATGCCAAGTGTTTGCCAAGAAGATCGAGCGTAGTTGTATAGTTTGAAACGATTACAACCTTTTCATTTGTGTTCTGAGAAAGCTGCTTTAGAATTAGGTCTAAAACTCTCAGCTTAGAGCTAGCTTTAATAGGTGAAAGTCTTAATAGCTCATCTGGGATTATATCCACATGTTCGACAAGGCTTGGAAAAGTTGATGTTTTTTCTTTCTTCTTCGCTAATAAGCTTGGTGCATTGCAAACTTTTTTTAGGAAAGTGATTAGTTGAAAAGAAGCCTCTGAGCTAGCAAGTACATTTCCAAAGGAGGGTAAAGCTAAGATATGCTCATATGCTTGTATCTGAGCTTGCGTTGGCTTACAGAATAGGACATACTCATTCTTAGGCGGTAAGTATTTGGATAGAATTTCTGCTGTTCGACGCAGAATGAACATTTGTGTTAATGAAGAGAGCTCTTCTTGTCGAGCTATGCCTTTTTCAACTTCATTCGGCGATGCCCCAGGCTGTCTACTTTTTAAAATTGGATTTTCAAATTCTTTTGTGAAAGTTTTGTATGTTCCTAGAAGACCTGGATTTACAAAATCAACCATCTCAAAGAATTCTGATAAATCGTTCTGTATGGGGGTCCCAGATAAAATAATTTTTTTTGGCGTGCTTAAAGATCGGATTGCCTGAGCTGATTTATTTTGAGCTGTCTTCAACCTATGTCCCTCATCTGCAATTACAATGTCAATTCCATGCCCTTTTTTCAATTCTTCCTGCACCGACCGAAGCTTTTCATAACCAATTATCATAACATTATAGCTTCTACCATGAGTGAAGTCTGTGAGCTTATTTTTCCGATTATCGGCTATAAAAACGCCAATTCTCTCGTTACCGAGCCATTTTTTGAACTCTTTCTTCCAATTAGAGATCAAAGTCACTGGACAGACAATTAGTGCCTTTTTTATAATACATTTGGTTCCATAAATCGGGGCTTGCTTTAGTAAAGTCCAGATCAAGGCGATCGTTGTCAGACTTTTACCTAGCCCCATCTCGTCAGCTAGAATCGCACCATTACCGTTGAAATCTCTCATTCCCATCACACATTCATAAAGGAATTTGACCCCTTCTCGTTGATGTGCGCGTAGGTGCTGGCCCAAAAATGGATCGACGACAACATCTACGAGCTGCTTTCCTTTCTCAATATTAGTAGGCCGTGTCATCACAAGAGCCCCAGGCCCTGAAATTTCGTGCCTTGGGATGGGTATTCCGCCTGCCTCTGGTGGTGAAAATTCCTTTGTTGTTTTTAATTCTGTTCTTCCAGTAATAGTTTTAGTACTTTTATGTGCATAGAAGCTTGCTGCTGGGATTTTGTAGTTTGAAGGTTCTACCTTTTTCGTCGCTAATGGAATTTTTCCGCTAGGTAGGGTGGGAGGTATCCGAATTCGTTTAGGTGCTGGGAGACTGCTATCAGCACTTGATATCCGTTTGTTTGAGGGCCTGAGAAAAGGTTTCCCTGCCATAAAATCTTCTTTGGTAATGATAGAATCTATCTCGACGGCCTTTCCACCAATATTTAGGGTGCTACCTGGAAGTAAGGGGTCCTTGAACATAACTCTCCCCATATCGGTGCCTGAAATATCTTGAAGTCTAGCATATCCGCCGGAAATTGAAAGAACTCCATCTCCATCCCAGGTTTTATGCTTTTTATTCGTGAATTTTCGCCTGAATATCACCAATTAATTAGGATAGTTTTCATGTGTGATGAACAGGGTTAGGAACCACAAAACCATGTAATATGCTTCGGGGACCTTCAGGGCAATTTCTGAACTATTTTCTATAGACGAGGGTTTCAGAGAGACTATAGATTTACTTTTGGGAGGAAAGATTGTTGGACTAGTTGAGTTTGGTGATGAGACGTCCTTAAGATTATCACTATGATTCTGCTTTTTTGTTGAGCCGGGAGGCGATTCTAGAATTTTGTCATCTTCATATGATGCAGCTGGAGGAGCCCCCTTAAGAAGGGGTGATTTGAATGGTTTAAACATTGAAGTTGAGATGATTTAACACAGCTGCCGCAACTCCAACCATCAATGCTTCCACGCGACGCGTTACGATGACGTCATTTAAAGCAGAATACAGTTTCATCCATTTTACCCAGCACGCGACAATTACTACATTTAATCAACTATCTATAAATGAGATACAGTCGGCAGCAAATGTAAATTCAAAACTTCTCGAAGGGCAAACACTGCACACCTTTTGGTGGTGTCCTCTACGAACCTGGGAGTGAAATATTCCGCAGAGCCAAGATCAGTCAAATTTCGCAATAACAAAAAAGTTTGCTCACAAGGCAGTGATTTCAGATACTCCACCATGTTAATCTTTCACTCCTAACGAGATAGATTTCTACTCGGGCCTTATCAAGACTGCAAATACGACTAAGTACATCCTAGTTCCGGTGGCCTCACTTCTCATCGGCCGTTCTCTGCACTCAACTCGTCACTAAAAATACGCCCTCGACAGTATGAATACCCACAGGTGAATCAAAATCGTGGCACACAAAATTTGGAGGAAACTATTCAGGGGTGCGTGAGAGACAAAGGAACTAGTCTACGAGATGATGCAAAGGAATGATTCTATCTCGATAGGCGTGAAAGTTTGAATTTTGGCAAGGAGATTTACTCATTAAAAAGCATTATGCGCGTCATCCTTCTAAATTGAGAGTGTTGCTGACACTATAAAAACAAGCTAACAATAGACGGTGCCGTGGTCCGCCTCCTTATGGTGTTCTTTGGCATAGTCTGAGTAGCCAAGGTAACTACTCTACTTAGTTAAGAGACACTTGAGACCACATATCGCGCGGAGAAAATTTAATGGATTACAGGGGCATATCTGGATAACTCAGGGTTTTTGAGACGTTTCCTTGGATGGGTATTCACGGATGAGGGCTGACTTGGGGTGAAGAAAAAGCCGTCATAACTTGGTAATAGTACTTGCAAATGAAATCTCAGGCATAGGTGCTATTCCATTGTGTTGAGTCATCTGTTCTGTACTTTATCTCTGATATTGTGTCATAGCTAGATAGCTGCATACGCAATTAAAATCTGGTGCGAAAAAAAAGCACAAACTATCTCAGGAACTCAGAAGAACTTGTACAATGAATTTCATTCGAAAGTACGATTCTGAAGTATGTTTAGTTTCACAACACAATCAACTTGCCACCTACTCAGGCTATCCAAAAGCGAGAACCACAGCCAAAGTTGAAGACGGCGTCCAAACTCTTGTGACTATCGCATACTGTAAAGGTGCAGTCGAAGTACCAGCCTAGAACGCGTTCTCGCCTCAGTCGAGTGCGCCAACAATACTAACTACGATGAATTTCTGCCAATGATAAACACATGATATTTCGCTGAAATATCAACTAGAGCAATCATTAAAAGCCGAGGCACTGGTGCCTCACCCTTGATTTCTTCCTTGTACAACTGGCCTCCACGGTCAGGGATACGGCAGCGATGGGGCAAGGCTGGAAGGGTGAACATTCTACAAAGTTTCTGGGATGACGAGATCGGCTGAATGATAGAGGGATACTACATGAAAGAAAAAGAGGGAATACAAACTGAGGAGGCCTAGGCAGGCGACTGGATGAGGTCTCTAATGAAGAAAACGACCCCTGGATAAGATGAGCCAAAGCTGGGACTGAATGGAAGGGCAAAGATACAGATGGCGAAGGTGTCAGGGGCTCGGGCGCGTGGTAGCCGAGGCTGAGGAGGAATTTGCGCTTCGGCGCGTCAAAAGAGGATTCTCTGGACGGTTGGGCTTGACATGATTCAACACATAGGTGAAGTCTGAGGTAGTCCGGTCATTCAGGTGGGATGAGGTAGATGTACTTAATGGATATTAACCTGATCCAGCCCGGTCCCACCCGTGCTCAAGCTTTCATAGGAGTGCAGAGGGTGCTAATTTCCCAGCACTTAAAAATAAAAAAAAACATAAAATTTTGATGCACCATATTTCTTGCGGTGCTTGGGTATAGAATATCGAAGACGTGCTTGGGCAACAAAAGGCTGTGAAACTTTCTTTTGGTTGATACTAATGTAAGACTATAGACTGTTCTGTGTCAAAAATAGATCTCATGGTAGAGTTAGCGAATGAAATCTAGAGAATTAGCGTCTAGTCAAAGGAGTCATACAACATGGCACAAATCATTGATCATTTGTAATGAACATGTCACTAAATACTCATTAAATTATTCAAAAAACGCGATGCATTTTAACCTCACGGAGATCGTGTCGAGATCAGTGACTAACACATATCAGGCCCTTTAACCACGTGCAAGAAAAATTTCCGAACATTTATTGTGTCATTAATTTTGGCAAATTAAAGATGCTCGATGGCGATAACATCCAACTGATGCCATGAGCCAGTGTCAAGTTAGCATAAAGCTGACCACCAAAATAATTAAGAGGCTTAAAAACGACGGAGACTCGAATAGTCTAGTTCCACGCGGCCACGACCGGGGGCTTAATAGTGCAAAGAGGGATACCTGAACGACTTGACTTGATGTAACTCACAAGTAGTTTCGATGTAGCTCACCATTTCTAGAGCAGACTGGGCAATGAAGTAGGAGGATCTGGTCGAAAAAAGAAGGCCCCTAAAAAATGAGTAAATAAGAATCGACCAAGCAATATCTTTAAGCAAATGTAAGTCTTTTGCAGGAGAAAATTTGATGTGCGCATTACATCTCTACGAGAATCTTAGTGGATTAATTTTCAGGGCGATCTCAGGCGTATGGAGTCTCCAGCGAAGCCAGTGCTGGAATGTCGCGGCTTGTTACCGAGACAAGCTAGGCATTAGAGGAAATAGATTGAACGCCTGTTCGCGGTGTCCTATACAATACTTAGGGAGAAATACTCTCCCAAAGCCAAGCTCAGTCATATTTCGCGAAATTAAAGAAGTTGGCCCACGAGGCAATGACTCAAGACCCTCCACCAAACCAATTTCTTACTCCCAACGAGATAAAGCTCCACAAAAGTCTGATCAAGTTTATCAGTACAACCTAGCACATCCTCAATTTAATGACGAAACCTCTTGCTAAATCAGTCTTTGTCACTAAATGGCCTCCACGTACTCGCCCACAACACTATGAACACCCGCCGGAGGAGACAAAGAGCAGCGCAAAAATCTGGGAGGTAGTTATTTGGGATGAACAGGACAGAGATCAGGAAGTCTTCAGGATGGATACAATCTCGACGGGCGTGATATATCGAATTTTGGCAAGAAAATTTAAAAATTGATGAAATTTATGCGTGCCAAGCCTTGGATTGGGAGAGTGTAGATCACACTGCAAACGTGGTCAAGTTTGGATGGAGCAGTGGTACGTCATCTAGTCCGACATCAGAAGCAGATTCTGGATAGCCTGGTCATATATCCCACTTGAGATAGGAGATCGCTGATTCGAATCTGGCGAAACTCAACTGCATATCTCGCGGCGCTCTTGTGCATGTATGACAAAGGCATATTTGGATAAACAGAGGTTTCGAAACTTCCCTTTGATGGGTACTCATAGACGAGGGTCGACTGTTTGTGTAATCAAGTGTACGTCATAGTGATATTTGCGAATGAAATCCAGAGTAGAAGTGTCTCTAACGTCAAAAGAGTCATCCAATATGTAAACAAAGCACTGATCATGTGTCATAACTAGATAGCTGAATACACTTTAATGGTATAAAAAAAGAAATAAAGAGCTAGACACTTGTCTTGTGAGCAGCAAAATAATTTGTTCGGGCGCTTGGCCTAGTCGTAGGAACAGGGTAATAGAGCTTTTTGGCGAGATTACTGCCGATAGTATTGAATCAAATTTCTGCGACCCGAACAGCCCATAATCACTGTACTTGACGCGTATCGATCTTAGTTAATCAGCTCTGGGATCTCTCGCCTGCATGAGGCACTTTATTCCCTCGGAATTTCTTTGACTAGAGACCATGAGAAATCTTGAGCCTTGCATAATCTCCCCTTTCATTCAACGAAAAGGGCGTCGTAGGGCGTGTGATTCTAGATGAAGATATCGAAAGATTACTGAGTATAGATTTATCCTGTTGCCAAGATTAGGACTAGACCAATAAACCAAACCACCTTTTTGGAGGGTTATTAGTGCTCAAGATATATCGATAGATCATGTGTTAATGGGAGTCGGAGTTTCTCAGGAAGTTGTAACTAAGGCAGAATTGTCACTTCGCTTTAGTAGACACTTCTCTCGGCCCGGGAATGGCGACAGTGATTAGCCAAATCTATGGAAGAGACCAGCTACTTTGAGCGCTCATCGACGAGCCTGTCTACCGATGTTAGCAGGAAGTGGCGGGAATATCGTCTTTTCGAGCTCATTCGAGGAAGTCGATGGACGATACCTAGCTTTAATACGATTCAGTTGACTCATCGAATAATGTTTCAGGGCCTATTCGGGGTGAGACTCGCTGTAGTGGAATCGACGTTGCATGAAAAGAAGTGATTTGAGCTTTAAAGTAGCAGATGAGAAGGTCGTTTCCACCTCGAGTCCGGCCAGAGTCGAGGGAATATTCTCAACATCTGTTAGTGGTGTCCCCTACGAACCTCTAGCTCTCACTGTAGAGTCTGCAGAGCCGAGATTGAGTAACACCTTCCTCACTTCGACGAGGATTCCAAATCGCTTACGCGTTCTGTATCGTCTTCATCTCACAACACATCCCCCTATCACCACTATCATGAAGCTAACCACGATCAGATTAGATGGTAGGGTCGGAGCCCTTCTCATCAACAACCCCTGATCATGGAGGAAAGGCCATCCGATGAGTTTCCGGAGCGTACCCAGCACCCGGTACAGAGATGGTGGATTGGATCACGATGGCCTCGAATATTTCAAAGTAGTGAGACATAGATGAATATATGCACCTCATGTGGTCCCGGTGTCTAGGCCTCGCCTGGCAGGGGCTGCAGGCTTTTTGAGACTTTTTCCCGCGCACGCAGTTTCCATTGCTACCATTTTTATTTTCTTAGGTAGAAGGTTCCGTGG